AAACACACTAACAGATAAAACCCCTCCCCTTTCACACCCCCAAACAAGGAAAAAGGACCCCCTTTCGGGGGGCCCCCCCCCCCCCCCCGGGAAAAACTCTTCGAGAAATACTTTTCTCGTTGAATGTCTGCGAGGCGCGGTGCTGCAAGGGACGCTGCAAGCTGCAAGCCCCTTTAAAAGGCGGGAATTTCGGCGCGAAATTCACACTTCTCTGCGGCTTCTGATTGAACGTATCATTTTTCTTACACATGTAAAAACATCGTTCGCTATTCTTATTGGACGTATAGTTTTTTTTTTTCGCCTTTCGCACCAAAAAACTATTAAAGTGAAAAGGTTTGGTATTTCATTGTTGTTTATATAATCAATATAACATTACATATGGCCCCTTGGAGATACAAAATTTCTCTTCTCGTGTTGAAAAAATATATTTCTCTCAATCGCTGGGCTCACTCGTGAAATATTTTTCAAAACTCGAAGAAAAATTTAGTATCTCCGCGAGCCCATGTAATAACCCCTATTTAAGACATATCTTATTGCGGTGAGTATTTCTCAGTACGTTTATAATAAATTGAAGGGCTAGCTATACGTATTGCTCCGTAAGGGGCCAAAAAAGTGCCTTGTATGTATGGGGATAAAAGCAATCTGGTTACAAGACGTTGTTTGAAAATATCGCACTGTTTTCTTTACCACTGAATGGTATATTTTTTTTTATTCCTAGAGCAAGAAGTCATAATTCTAGATCTGGGTCCAGAAAATTCATTTGTAATAAGGAAGGATAAGTCTTTCTTTAACAGAAACACTTGCGTTCACGGTGCTGTTTCATCAAGAAGACATGCCACGGAGTCAGGGCGGAATAATCCTAATATCCCTCTTCGGCCGAACAGGAATTCAAAACTTATAAACCTATAACGAAATTCAAAGATTGCTCTTATAATTACTCCTACACTTTTCGCTTGGACGCTGGCTTCCGGTTCCAAGTTCTTGAGCGATTGCACGTTGAGATTGCCTAGTATTATGGAGATCTAGAACCGTTTTCTCGGACAAAGTGTGTGAGATTCCCACCGTTGTCGTTAACAACACAATTCTCAGCTGCACTCTCGCTTTCAAGAAGGCGACGCACGTTAACAGGTAACAATATAAATACTTGATCAAAAGAAAAGGACAGTTTCCGATGAGGTCCGCACACCAAATTCTTTGTTATTAATAAGAGAGCGGTTCCTGATTTGCTGAAATAAAAAGTTCTTAGGTGGCCCCGGTTTAAGTGGTCACATTGTAAAGAGAGCCTCATTTGGCCGCACTCTAGTTTCCACCACAACATCGTCACCTCCAATAGCCTGTTCCAGGCGTTCAGATACTGGGGAACGGTGCGAAGTAAAAAGAAGCGCGAAAAAATAAAAGCGAGGGAGGAGGAGAGGTGAGAGAGGGAACGCCTGTATAATTTGTTTTTTAATAAATAAACTCTTCCGCCCACTCAGACCGCATCAGCTGTAGGTGGTCTTCACTTGTCAATCAAGACTGGTGTTACAGCCCCATACATTTATTATTTTTCTTGCGAATAAATCAAAATTTCTAAGATCAAAAATTAATATTATGTATACATAATCTTACTAAAAACCTAATGTAAAACTTTCAGACAGTAGAGAGCGGCAGGATATGTAAAAGGTTTTTTTCTCTATAAAAACCCATAAAACGGCCATAAATCGGCCCGTGGACCACACAGGAGAGACGTAACACACATTTTAAGTAAGGTAAGCTGTTTTTCAGTGAAATCCTTTCATTTTCATAGGTTACAGAAACGATAGGTTTTTTTTTCCATACAAACCCTTATATTTCGAATGTTACACAACAACGCCGATGTTCGCCGATGCTCATATTTCGAGCTTGGCCTCCTGTGGTCGTATACGAAACATTAAAGAGGCATCAGGTGCCTTTTGCTCACCTCTTTATTGACAAATTCAAAACTTATCGGCTACAGGAAAACTGAGAAGCAAAATTATCTACGGTAGCAAGTAAAACGATTGTAGCACGCACCATGTTTACAAATTCCGGTTATAGCTATGGTCAACTAATAGTATGCTTGAGAGCACTATATTATACACTTAATGTCAGATCCCGAGGGAAACAGTTAGTTTTGTTCTCCCAAGAGTCCTGATGTTTCCCGAGACGAAGTCGAGGGAAACATCAGGACTCGAGTCGAATGAATGATTTAAAAAGTACTTTCCTTATATTATCTGCATCTTCCTCCACTAGCTGCTGTTTCTCTTCTGGGATAACTTTGAAAATCGTTGCTTTTTAGCTTGAGGCTTCATGTTTGTGTTGTTGTGAATGTTGTTGTGTTCATTCACGAAAAAGAAAACTGGCAGTGTTTTTCCCGCCTTCTGTCCCGCCACTTTCCACCATGCTCTGATCACGTGCTGTAATGTATCCCGAGCGGGGTACATTGCTTGATGTATCACGATCGGGATACATTTGATTTTAGTCAAGGCCACGTGACCAAGAATCAGCCAATGGCTGTCCCTGTTTAGTTGAGTGAAAGTCTAGGAATATAACAATTTCTCTTGTTACGAAGAAATCGATAATACTGGCCTCTTTATCGCGTTATTATTTCCTTCGTTTTGTGTAAACCATAGACTACGAGTAGGCCCCATTTTTCCTCAGGGATAGTAGAGCGAGCGAAACGCGAGCGGCCGCGTCTCGCCTTTCTTACGAGGGGTGATTTTCACGCGCGCTCGCGTTTCGCTCGCTCTACTGTCCCTGAGGGAAAATGGGGACTACTCGTAGTTTAAGTAAACCACAGATAATTAACCATTAAGCGATTTTCACACTATATACCTACATATTATGAAAATGCAACTTGTTTAGTCTATATATACCCCGGGTCTAGGGGTTTTTCAAGTTGCAAACTTAACGAAAAGTTTTATCTTAATTATTTCATACCGTAGTTATTAAACGTAATTTTTTCTAGACTCCTTAATCAATCCTACAAGTACAAAGAGCAATAAAATTTGCTAAACTAGAAAATAGGAGACAAATGCTGTTATTATACAGTAAATACAATTGTGAAACTTACAGGTATCAGTATGTGTAATCAAATGGTGACGAGTGAGATTAGGGAATAATTTCACGCGCGTTTTGTCCAAATCCTAGTTACTGTAATATATTAGGATTTGGACAAAACGCAAGTGAAATTATTCCCTAATTTCACAAGTATACCATTTGATTACCCTATAATATCATGGGTGACGAATTTTAAAAGTTCGCAATCCTGGATTTTTGAGATGTTTATCCTGGATCAAGAGAGAACGATCATTCTCTCTTGCCTGGATCGTATCGACCGAGGACGAGAATTCCACTCTCTCAAAAGTTAAGAGCCTAAATTTGGCTTAAGCTCAAAATTTTCAGAATATTTCGACAAAGTACCTGATAAAATCCTTCTTGATGTGCTTTTTCGTGTGTTTAGGTTTTCTAAAGGGTCTTTTAATGGGTCTTTAAAGCCCTAACATCTTTATTCATAACATTATAAATTTTCGTCGCCATCTCGGCACTGAGACGTACGAAAGGTTGCCATGGCAATTTTGTAATTTCACATGTGAAATTACAAATTAACGCTGAAATTCCGCGCCAAAATTAAAATTCGTCACCTATGACATTAATTATAAAAACCAGTGATAAAACTCAATACATTTCTGAAACTGTCCAAGAGAAAAGATACGGGTGCGTTTAATAGCTCCGTGAGGAAAAATAAGATGGCATCTCTTAAAGAATCTATCTATCCTAGCATTAACCGCTGCAGCATGGCTTTGTTAAGGGACGCTCAACTATCACCCAGCTTTTAGACACTGTGCATCGGATAACAAGCGCAATTGACCAGGGTGTTCAAACAGACGTCGCTTTTTTAGATTTCTCCAAGGCATTTGACTCAGTCTCGCACCCCCACTTGATCAGCAAGTTAGATCAACTTGGAATTAAAGGCCCTCTTCTACAGTGGTTCTCAAGTTATCTGGATAACAGGGTGCAGCGTGTGGTAATCGATGGCAAAAACTCTGAGTGGTTACCGGTCACCTCGGGAGTCCCGCAGGGCTCCCTGCTTGGTCCTGCTCTGTTTGTGTTATTCATCAATGACATGCCTTGTGCTGTGTCTCAGTGTAGCACATTGGCATTGTTTGCCGACGATGCCAAATGCTACCGCACTATTAGATCTGCCAGTGACTGTGTGCTGTTTCAAGGTGATATTGACAATCTGGTTGACTGGAGTGATGTTTGGAAGATGGCTTTTAACATGGATAAATGCTCGCTTTGCACGATAACGAGGAAACGCAATCCAATAATTTATGATTACAATATGAGAGGAAAGGCACTTAAGAGAGTGGAGGCTCAGCGTGACCTTGGCGTTCTCATCACTTGTGATGCTCGATTCAATGAGCACATCTACGCCCAGGTGAACAAAGCTAATAAGATGTTAGGTTTTATCCGTCATTCACTCAGCAGCAGGAGCGATCAGTTTCTGCCAACATTTAGATCTCTCTACATGGCCCTTGTGCGTTCGCATTTGGAGTATGCCTCTGAAATCTGGAGTCCAAAGTCTGTCACCTTAATAAAGGTTATTGAGGGTGTCCAACAACGTGCTAAGTAGCCTGTGCGCAGACGAAATTAAACTCTGGTTAACTCAGTACTAATCAGAGTTTAGTTATCGTCTGTACGCAGGCTACTTGCTAAGCGGCTTCTCCTACCTAATTTAACTTACAATGAACGCCTTCAGCAGCTCAATCTTCTCCCATTGGTGTACCAAAGAGAAGTTAAAGACATAACAACATTTTATAAACTGAAGTGTGGTTACTATAACTATTCAGTTGAAAGATATTTTGAATTTTGCTCAGATAAAAGATTAAGGTCATATTCTAGTAATAAGTTAAAGACCAACAAAGTCAGAACCGAATTATTCAAAGGCACTTTTTTCAATAGATTACCATATTTATGGAACAACCCGCCTGACAAATTCAGGACCTCTAATTTAAGCCTATCATTATTTAAAAAACAATGTAATGAGTTCTATAGAAAGAAGAGCTTCGACCCTGACCACCCGCATGCCACTTGGATGTAGTGATCGATGTAGCAATTATTTTCTGATTAGATTAATCTAGGATATGATATATTATCAATTATAGTTTTTACATTTAAGATATAATTTTAATGTTTTCTTTTTTCTTTATTTAAGTGTCTGTTGTAGTTTTTGGGTGGACTAGCTCGAATGGTTCGTATGTTCCCTTCTAGTCCTTCGCCACTGCAATATATATATAGATTTTTTTCTAGTATGTAGTTAATTGTTCTCTTATGTAATTTAGCTAAGTTTTCTTTTTGCAGTGAAATGGAATAAATTAAAAAATTAAATTAAAATTATTAGGTATATGCCGATAAATTGTTCAACTATGCTGGAAGGCCAGGCGAAAGGCAAAGTCACAGTCAACTGAAATTTTCATTCCTCTGTTTCGTTATCATCGGAGGTGCAATTCACCTCCCTCTTGTTTCTTTTAATTTATTTCATCCGGGCATAAACGGGGTCTCACTAAAACGCAGCTATATTATAAAAATGTCTGCTCACAAGACGTCTAATTAAAGACTACACAAAAATTGCTACAGTAACACTTGTTCATATGCTACAATGTTTGGAGCTCTTCAGGAAAAGAAAGCCTTGCGTTATTCATTCCTTGACATTTGTCCCATCATCAAGCTTAAGCCTCGGAAGACAAGACAAATTTTCATGTATTTTCACTTCCTTTCTGATACCCTGCCCTAAACTTTTTCCCTTGAATTTCTTCAAAAATTGAGATTCTTCAAGAGATATTTTCTCAGTGCACGTCCTTTGTAATTCCTGCATCATTGAAATGAGGTCCAATGTCTGCCAGCGCTTGTTCAGAATCTCCACCATCATGGCTGGAACACCGCGAAGGTTTAAATTACTCACTTGAAGAGTTTCGCGGGGAATTTCTTTCACACGTGAGAAGAAACCAGTTATCAGAAGCTTCGTGTCGTGAATGAGTTCCAACTTTTCTGTCAAAAAAACTTCTATCATTCCCATATAACTCCGACTTTCCTTTGAACATGCCTTGGAAGGACCGTTGAACAAAGAAAATACGACAAAAAGGGTCGAGTTCTTATCTACAAGGGAAGAAAAACATTTTCGGCATGCACAAGCCGGCTGACAAATTTATCCTTGCAAATCCCGGAGGGTGGGGGGGGGGGGGGCTTATAATGGCCTATACAGGGAGGCTTCAGGTATTTGAAACAGAAAGGGTAGTGATTTTACTTGTTGACGTATATGAAAGGGTAGGGACACTTCTGTGCGATAAAAAGGCCCAAAAGGGCTTGCAAATGCATTTTCTGATGGTGAAAAAGTCTCGAAAACGTTCTGGTTTTGTGATTTATTCATACTTTAAAGACAGTGCACTGATTTACAGTAGTTAGTAAGAGTTCTTAACTATTTATGCGAAAGGGGTACCATTTGTAAATAGAAGGTATATAACAAGGGGAACCTTTTCTGTTAAAAATGCTTTTTAAAAGGGCAAGGGGTTGGACCTCGGGACGGAGCCTCCCCGTGTTAAGTTTTCACCCGCGTTTGAGACTTCTCTCTTCAATCAATATAAGAGCCTCCCCCTCCCAGCCCTTCGTCAAAGTGCCATGATTGATGCAGTGCAAACTACAGTGGAACCCCGCCTTACGGCCACCTCATGCACCTCGTTATTACGGTCACTTTTTTTGGCCGCGCGGCAAAACGGTCATACATTTTCTTGTAAAAAAAAAAAAGAAAAAACCCTCGTTAATACGATCACCCGTTAATACGGCCAGTTTTTTTTTGGCCCATTGGTGACCGTATTAACGGGGCCCCACTGTATCCACTTACCGTCATGTGACTGTTCGATCCATTTGTCGACGACATCTGTAACAGCCAATTTGAATTTTTCGTTTTCTCTGTTTAGTTCCTCTTTCTTTTGCATCATCTCCTCGTTAAGCTGAATTCTTTCTTTCATCAGCTGTTTCCTCCTCTCTGCAAGCTCTTCGTAGGACCCACTGTACGCTGCCACCTTCTCCAGTTTCTTTTTTCCAGCTTGCGCTATATCGTTATCTTTTACATGCGCGTTTTCCTTCAACTTTGCCAGATCTTCAAACAATTTCCCAGAAGAATCTGCCGTCAATGCTGTTACTCTGTTTTTTGAACTTATGTCTTGAAAAAAAGATGCGATTCTTTCAGCTCCTTTAGGATCACTTTCAAAGAAATTGATGATCAAAACCTCCGCTCTACTGTACAACTTTGTTGGACGATTAGCAACATCCGCCGTTAAGCTTTCTATTTCTTTTAGGGAAAGCCTGGGACGAAGTGCGCGTGGTTTTGTTGCTTCTTCCAAAATCTCAACAAGGTCATACAATTTTAACGTTCTGAAAATATCTTTTAAAGATTTGACTGAAGTATCAGGAAAAAATTCTCTAATTTTCCAGAGTGTTGTCGTAGTAAATTTCACTTGTGATGAATCAAGCCCAAAAGATTTACAAAATCTCTCCAGCGCAACTGGGTCAGCTTGAAGCCTCCACGCCAATTCTGCGGTAACTTCTTCCTTTAGATCTTTCACGTATAGTTGCAAAGGGGAATCTAAAAATTCAAGAGAAAAGTAAATTGATTTCTTAACAACCTGAATTGACTTCTCCGACATAAAATTAGCGAGAAAGAAACGTTAAAGCTCTACTGTAGATACGGTTGTTCTTATTTAGACACTACGCCCGAAAGACCGGGAACTAGCTACTCCGCTTTTTCTTGCAATTTTCATTTAAAAAAACTAACAAGTGTTTATCTTACCTGAACGATTCGATTCGCTTTTTTTCTATTCGATGTTTTAGACATCATAGTGTATCGGTGTAACGAAGCATAAAAAAACTGCCTCGATTGAAGAGTATGTGACACCACCCTTAGAGGCTACAACTCAAACGGGAAATATATCAGCTATCCTAAACGTGCAGTGTTTAAATTGTTCCAAATTGTTCCAGATATACATTACAGAGGATAACCTTCTCTGCACATGTTTGGTAGCTTTGCCACCCAGAGCAAGAAGACAAACAAAAAACAGTGCGTGCTTATAGCCACAAAACTAAGAACAAATAGAAAGAAGAAAGGTTGAAAGTTTAATCTTACCGCTAGTGTCTTCAATTCCGAGCTCAGACGGTGCATAAAATGATGACCCTATTCCACTGTCGCCTGTTTCTGATATTATGCTGTTTTTATCGCTATCTTGGATGTAGGAGTAGGATTGTTCAGCAGCAAACCAATTCTGAATGTAAGATGATTTCTCTTGATCTACGTCTAAATTAAGTCGGTTGGCTTGTCTACCATCGTGGGGATAGTCTTCTGAAATGATAATGATCGTGGGGATACATGTGCAAATGCAAAAAAAAAAAATTAATTTAATTGGAAAGTTATAGATATTAAGACAAGTGATAAGTATTGATTTTGGAAAATATCAAATAACTCTAAATGCTGAGTATCTAGCTTCGGGAAGTTTTTTTTTTATTATTATTCCTAACAGTTCAAGTACGTCACCTTGTACATCACTGATTAACACTTACCAAGCTTTCTCGTATTTTTTGCCGTAAGAAAACCCTTAATCTTCACATTTTGGGTGGTCGCTAAGGGAGGTTCGACTACATATAGAAATTTAAAAAAAAAACCAAGGAACAAAGTAACAAGAAGGATTTCGTTCGAAAGAGTTCAAAGTGTTCAGTTTCAAGCTAATAGTTTTTTTGGCTTGCTTTTTTGGGAAGTCAATTTTCTACTGGGATGTTACCTAAGTTCACAACTACCGTGTTTAATCATTTTGCCTTCTTTAGTTGTCACACTTTATCCAATTTAAAGATAAAGTTATACCAGGCATTAACCGTGCGTTAATGTTGAGCTGAAAGTAAAATGGCGGAAATCATCGACATGGACTGGAAAAATATTACCTTCTGCTTCAGTGAGTAACTCTTTCCGGGCTTTTTCGTATTCTTGTTCCTCTATGGTCACAATCACATTCACATGTTCTCCACAGCCAAGTTCCTCTCGCATTTTGTCCGTAACAAGCAACACTTGCAGGGATTTTCTGAGCTTTCCGTCTGTGTATAAACTCCACAAGCTGTCAAGAGCTGAAATATTTTCTGCCTGAACTTTGAGAATCACACTGCCCTCAGCTATTTGCATCAGTTTAACGCCAGCGGGAAGGACGCAGGTATTAACAGCAGTTACCAACTGATCATATGTAGAACCATGCCTCAGCAGCTGATAGGCGGATGCTGTAATTGCAATGCCTGCAGCCATTTTGAACACAGTTTTTATGTTCAGAACTGAAAATCAAAGAATAAATGAATAAATAATGATTTGGAGGTAGCATATCCACAAAGTGGTTCTTCGTCTACCTGATTCCTGGTCAAATTGGAATTTGGAAATGTTGGTTTTGGGGGAAAAGGGAAAACCGGAGTACTCGGAGAAAAACCTCTCGGAGCAAAGGGGAGAACCAACAACAAACAAACCAACAACACAATATCAATCACAAACCAAAATAGCAATGGCATTTCAGAAAATGTGCCCTCCTTGTATCTAAATCAGAAAAAAACTTAGGTCTATTAAGCCTCGTCTACCAAATTTTTGTTCTAAAATGAAAGGTAACGGGAGTGGTCTGTTATCGAAACTAAAGTGTGTCAGGTAAGAGACGTTAATTGTCTCTGCATCACTAGTCCATGTTCATATAGTTATTTTGAGAATGAAGAGACTATGGTACGCTGTAGTGTGTTTCTTTAGAATTTCTGAAGGCAGACTGGATGTACTATTATTGAGCATTTAATTTTTTGTGGTGTTTTTTTTTTACCTCATGTAACTGGATTGGTGGTATGTTTTTCCTTGTTAAGTATTTTTATCCTGTCCTTCTTGCTGCCACGAGCTCCCCGTGATCGTTCCCCATTCCCTAGGTTTTAGCAATCCTTTCTTCCCTAATTCGCTATCTTTTCCTCAATCATATATTTAAAGACATGTTTTTCCACTTCATTTCCTTTTCGAATACACTTAATATTGACTAGTGTGCAAGGCTCTGTTTATATGAAGGAACGTTGTCCTACGGTGGAGGGTTACCCTCCCAGCCGAGTCAACTTTAGCAAGCGTTTATGAGAAAATAGTTGATCCCTTTTCCCGAGCCAGCATCGCTCGCGTACTCTCTGATTGTCTCGCCTTGACCGACTTGACCCGGCGAGGCCGGGTGTGCCAAAGTGTTTTTATGGAGAAAAGTTGGCCGGGCTAGAAGGATAACCCTGCCATTACAGAAGAGTTACCAAGCTAGCGCTAGGTGGGTCACCCTTAACTTCTAGCCGAGCCAGTTTTCTGGTTTCTCATGTAAACAGTTTGCCACGTTTTTTTAAATTTATGTAAAGTTGGCCCGTCCAAGGTTAAGTTCAGGTAGTCGGGTGACCTTTCTACAAAGTCGTTCTATATAAACGGGGCCTAGGAGCACAGAGTATGGGAAGGAAAAAATCAGATCATCAAAGTAGTACGGTGAAATCCTTTTCAGGCTTTTCGTCATCGGAGTTATGAAAACTAACAAGGATCTAGTATCTGAAGAAGAAGCCAAGATTAAATTTCAGGTGCCTTTAACTTGGGGGATAGGAAGGGTCCCAAATCCAACTTTAATAGCTTAAGGTTATTTACCGTGAGTTACAAAGAAAAAAAAGTAGATTAAAAAACTAGATTAATCAAAGGTTCAATACAGTAATAAATGAACATTGCTTAATTATACAAATATACGAGTTAACACTTCCCACTAATCATCATTCTCAACAACAACATAAAAAAAACAGCACAAATTATCTTTTCAGGGTTCATATTCTACACACTTTTTCGAGATTGTACAAATTCAAAATTTAATAGCCTTTATTCTTCCTTTTTCATTTGTGGAATCTGCAGAATAAAACACCATTTGACAAGTCATTTCATTCAGTATGAAATAATTGCTTTATGTTGTTGGTATGGCATCTTGATTATTCGGTTGTCAAACTGAAACCATAATACGTACCAGGCTCCTGTTCTAACTTTTAACTCGTTTATAATACCTTATTGGTACACTTAGTTTCGCAGGTCTTTAATTTTGCGTTTTTCGCAGTTGTGGAAAAATCGTGAAATTAGTGACCCGTGAATCAGAAAATCCCCGTGAAATTGAAACACTCGAAATTTAATACCCATATAAAAGTGACACAGAAAAAATAATGAAAACATTAATTTACCAACTATAACATGACTATTAACTAACTATTAGTACTAACTATTAGTACGACTATCTAATATACTTATTTTAAGATTTACTGTAGCTCTGCCATTGATTTTCCCATGTGTAATTATGATAATATTTTGTTCTATTTATCTAACTGAGGGAGCCCATTCCTTATAAGCCCGGTGGCTTCTCTTGGGCTTCCTCGCCATGAGAGTTTAAGTAATTAGATTTCATTTGATTTGTATAATTTTTTGGCAAACAAAACAATAAACAATAAACATAAACTTTACATGACAGGTCAGGTCAGGTGAGGCCAAAAAAAGGCCTCACCTGCTACGGGTAACCTGTAAACCGGTACCACCTGTCTCAGGGGCGGGCTGTCGGCGACTAAACCGTCACCCCCATCAAATTCCAGGAGGAGTCGTGTGAGGAGGGTGGCTGGACATCATGTTGGAACTAAAAACAAAATCCATCTCTGAGGGCGTACGAGCTCATCTGAGCCACCGGCCATCCAGCAAACATAGTCGAACCAGCTGCCTTGCAGGTTGTGCCTCTTTAGGCAAAGGCTTAGGGAAGGAACCCTGATAGAAAATACCTCGCCAACCCGCAGTGCCAAGGGTGGCGAGGATGGCAACCCCACTGGAAAAAATCATCGAAATTGACAACCAAGGGCCCTCAGTCCCCAGAAGCTTTGAGGCACCTAGCCAAGGCGGCGGGAAGGTTGACAAAAGAGCGGATGGTGCTAAGAATCTCTGGGTTCGGACAGGCTGCCATTGGAACATGAAAATTTGCACCTACAACGCCAGATCACTATCCTTCGGCGACAGAATCTTAGAGTTTTAGGAAGAGCTGGCGAAGATAAATTTTGATATTGTTGGAATCAGTGAAGTTCGAAAGAAGGGAGAAGGCTGCATCACTCTAAACAACAGTGCAGTCCATAATCTGTATTACATCGGCGGCAACACCTGCCATAAAAGGAGTCGGTTTCGTAGTACACAAGAAAATTGCAGTCGAAATGCCACCAGCTTCGAAAGGCGTATCCGATCGGTTGGCCCAACTCACCCTTAAGATCAATTGCAAATATCATCTGTGAATATAATTCAGGATTATCTTCCAACAACTAACCATACTGATGAAGAAGTAGATAAAGTATATGAGGACATAGATAACCTCATCACTTATAGCAAAGCCTATTTTAACATCATCATGGGCTACAACGAGATCAACTACATCCTCACGGACAAACCTCATGTTTTTACAGATGTATCTGTTATTAATTAACACGGGCAGTGACTACCGCATGGTACGCGGCACAGTGGCCATCAACACAAAGCTAGAGCGGCCCAGGCTCACCAGACGGCAAAGGAAACCAAATGAAGTGGTACTCGTTGAAAAGGAAGCAGAATTCCAGCTACTGCTGACCAACAGGCGACCTTGACACATGCAATGATAATCTTACTACTATTGTTGTGGAAACTGCAGTTGAGACCTCTGGTGAAAACAAACCGCCAAGACCGGAAAAGCTCCCCATGGCAATAAGACAACTCAGAGAAGAAGCGGCGGCAGATGAAGAGAAGTGGAATAGATGTGCAACATATCGAATACACTTAGATCTGGGAAGCCATCAGAAAGCGTTTGAAAGAGGAAATCAGCAACTACAATGAGCAAGAATAGTTCAAAGCACTGAAAAACAACAGAGGTCTCAAGACCATCCAAAGAAAACAGAGCCTAGGCAGAAACAACATTGTTACCCTTAACGAGGAAACGGCACGCTCATTAAAGACCGTGACAGGCTGATCAGCAGGTCTGAGGAGTTCTACACCAAACTCTATAGCACCAAAAGACCGCAAGATCAACCTTTCACTGACGTTCACTATAAGGAAACAGGTCAAACTCCTCCCATAATACTTCCGAAGTGAGAGACGACGCAGTTAAGCGTCTAAAGCGTGATAAGGCTCCTGGGGAGGACAATATTACCGCTGGCATCCTACAGGATTGGGGGACCCACTGTCAGGATGTTCACGAAGCTGTTCAACAGATGCATTAGAGATGGCAAAGTTCCCAGCAGCTGGAATAATGCATCCGTAATTATCCTCCACAAGAAAGGAGACACAGCTAATATCAATTTAATAATTCCAGTGAGTTCACAACGCTCTTCAAGGCATTAGAGAATCAAGGAGTTGATCAGGCTTACATTACTATCTCAAGTGACTTGTTCAATGGTGCCACCTCTGTTCTGAAACTCCACAGGGACAGTGACAAAATTAAAATGGAGAGCGGTGGAAGACAGGGTGACAATATAGCGCCTAAACGTTTCACAGCATGTCTCCAAGATGCTATAATAAAGAGGATCCACTGGCAAGGTAAAGGCCTAAACGTTAACACTGACGGCGAATACCTCTCCCGTGTAATTTTCGCGGATGATATCATCTTGTTTGCCAAGGAACCAGATGAGCTGACCAGTATGCTCACTGACATTCATAATACAAGCAAACCAGCCGACCTTAATATGAATCTTGGCAAGACCAAGGTAGTGTTCAATGAACACGCCAAAAAGTGCACAATTACTGTTAATGGAGAAACCGTCAAGAAGGTCGATACTTACGTATACCTACGAAAGACGGTGACGAAAGATTTTGACCTAATTCCTGAGATTAAGAAGAGGATTACAATTGGCTGGGCAGCCTTTGGTAAAGTGGATAACATCATGAGAAGCCGCAAAGAAAGCATGAAGATAAAGAGGAAGATACACGACGAGTACATTTTACCAGTAATGACGTATGGTTGCGAGACATGGGCGCTTAACAACGCTATGATGGCGCTATGATGGCGTAAGATGGAACGCATGATGCTAGGCATCAACCTTCGAGATCGAAAGCGAAACACCTATATTTGTCAAGAAACTGGCGTAAGCATTATCAACAACCACTATTAGGAAAGCAAAGCGTAGATGGGCAGGTCACATTGTCCGGCTATCTGATAATCGTTGGATCATCAGAGCAACAGAGTGGACCCCAAGAGATTGGAACAGGAAACAGGGTCGTCCAAAAACAAGATAGAGGACGATCGCACCAGACAGCAGATCGGACCCTTATGGTCAAGACTAACCACAAACATAGACACCTGTAGGATCGATCCAGGGAGGGGTTCCTCTGTTAAGAGAGAATACAAACCCTGATGATGATGATATATGTGTCGGCAAATACCGACAAAAGCTCATAATAATAATAATAATAATAATAATAATAATAATAATAATAATAATAATAATAATGATAATAATAATAATAATAGTAATAATTTATTCACAAATCCATAGAAAAGTGAAAAGGAGATAAAGGAGGTTATCCCTTTCTAGTTTATCTCCTGATAATAAAGTAAATTAAAACATTAATTATTTACAACTGTTTAAAACACTAAGTATAAAATATATAATACATCACAAGTTTGAAGAACTTAGTGTTCACTAGAAAAATTTGCAAGATGACATCTCAGTCTGTTCTTAAAATATTCGACAAATACTGACAAAAGCTTGTCCTACTGGTACGTTCCATTCCGTAACTGTGTCTTCTGTTGTGAAATAACGTCAACATGCGTTTCGCTTGTTTCATTTTATCGAGATATTTTGAAAACCTCAGAGAATTAAAAACTAAATTCAAGTTGGGAACGCCTAGTGAATCGCGAAATTTTATGCCCTTTTCGTATTTACCCATTGAAATCGCGAAAATAAAACCCGGCCAAATACTGTCTTGCCAAAATCGCGAAATTAATACTAATCCTGCGTACAATGTAGCAGGCGCTTGCAAGTTATGGGCGCCAGAAGAATGGGGCCCGTTCTTTACTTACAAGCGCCTGCTACGCGGGCTAAATTAATCAACCAAGAATTAAGGTAGTCATTACAGCGGGTCACTCGATTGGCTTGCCATGCGTACCATGACATTTCATTATTTTTCTTTAAAGCAAATCAATTTACAATAGCAATCAACAGTCCTCATGATTTGATCTTCCAACACGAACAAGACTTACCTCCAGCTAAATTGCTGCTAACAGATGACACAATCGCAGTTGCTTGTGCTGAAATGAGATAGACGTGATAAGATCAGTTTACATGTTACATGCAAGTAAGGTCTTACACTTAACACATTAAGCGAATTCGGAAGACAGTAAAACAAAAACACTGTGAACTCAATTGTAGTATTTTGATACCACAAATCCATCCAAGCTTTAAAAGGCTTAATGTTAAGACATTATTAAGCTTGCTTCTACAGGTCGTCACATGTAGATAGGAATAGGCTTGTTTCAGTAGCGAAAGTTAGGGCGCTGACCATGAACCGGCTGGCCACATGAATTCCACTATCCATATGGGCTATCCAGTCAGAGCAGTTTATTTCTAAATGCTATGCATGGCAGTGATGGGTTTTTGTAAAAATTTCAAGAAAAGACTAAGTATTTCTTTTTCAAAATGACCGTTTTGGCCGGTCATTTGTGACTTTCTGAAAGGATTAAAAGAACAGAAGGATTATATACCGTGCAATGGCTTTAATAAAAGCCGGTTACCGGCTGTTTACCGCCGCCTATCATGCCTGTTACCGCAGTGTATTCAGCTTGTACTTCTAAGATTTCTAGAACTGTGTTCATTGGTCAATAAAAATAATCACAAACAACACTCTTTTTGATGCCCAGAATGCTGGAAATGGCATTTCCGAGCTTCTAAATTTCAAATTTTTCTGGGAGAGCATACCCCCAGACCCCGCTAGTGGAAAGGAGCCTTAAGGCTCCTTTTGTTGCCACAG